AAAAAAAAAACACGTATTAATTATAAACGTTTAAATTTAGAGTTTTGAGAAAAAGTAATAAATCAAAAAAGAAAAAAAATCAATTTATCTTTGTGTGTTAAAACTTTGTGGTGAAAATTTGATTTCAATATGGCGTCGTTCTGAATACACCTGTTGACAGGCATCATTTTGAAAACTTCATACCCAAACAATGAGAAAATATGTGTTCTACTAATAATTAATATTCAAATCATTCATCTGTCAATATTAAATATACATCCTGATTATAATAAAAAAAGAAAAAATTTCTTTTAGAAGATAATTATACATATAAATTGATAGTTTCTATTATTCAAAAGAATAAAAACTGGTACTCATTTCTTTTGACAACAAATCAAGAGACAAGTCTAAATTGTTATAATATAGGGTGATTGTAAAGGTAAAAGAAAAGCTTAAGTAAATATTAAAAATCTCTTTTGATTTAAAAAAAAAAACAGTTGTAATTAAGAATTAAAAGAATTACTTGTTTTGATTATTATTTCATGATATACATTTTGATTAATTTACTTGTGTTTAAATATGTGTCAATGTTTAATAATAATAATAATAATAATAGTAATAAAATGTATTAATGAAACGTTAGTATAAATAAATTTTTGTTTATTATTTTAGGAATCTAAATAATAATTTTCATTCAATCAAAATGAGTGAAATAAAATGTTGATTTATTACCCATTGTGTATATTATTGTGTATGCACTGGTATTTGTCACTAATATAAATAAAACGTGGATTTAATTTTATATTAATATATATATATATATATAAATAAGTACAAAGAATTTTCTTTTAAAAAAAATTTTATAGAAAAACTGGGTAAGAAAACAAAAAAGAAAAAAATTATTTAATCAAAATCAAAATTTTTATCAATTTTAATGACACATAAAAATTTTTTAATTTTTTTTCCTTTTTGATTTAAGTTAAGACACAAATTTTTTTTTTGAAGGAAAAAAAATACTTCAATTAGAAAAATTTAATTACACTCCTTTAAAAAAAAAAAATTATCTAATTATTTTGTCTATAATGACATGAACTATAAGAATTCACAACCTTTTGACCCTTAAAATACTTGACACTTTTTTTTTTTTTACAAAGATAAAAATCTGTCAAAATATATTTTATCAATGACCTACCTGGAAAAAAAGGTTTAAACAAAAAAAAATTTCCAGGTATGGGAATCAGTCATTATCAGTTTTGTAAACTAATTAAAATTTATTTAAAAGAAAAATTTTTTTTTTTTAAATAATTATTTTAATTAAATACTTAAAATTTTTTATTTTAATTATTGTTTCAATCTTATTAATAATAATAATAATAATAATAATTGTGTTTTGATAAAAATTAATTAAAATAATATATCTGTTAATTTTGCTTGATGTGAAATAATCACAAGATAATCTAAAAAAATTAGTTTTTTTTTTTTTTTTTATAATAATTAATAAAATAAATATTTTCATTAATCAAATTATGTTTTTAGGGGGGGGGGGGGGTTCAATCAAACAAATTTCAAAAGTAGTTTGGATTGATGTACGTACCACTAACCAAAACCAAGAAACAAAACCTTTTTTTAAAATCATTTTTGATTATTAATAAAGTAAATAGAGAGAGAGTAAGTTAATGAAGAGTGAAGAAAAAATAATAATAATAAAAGCAAATTTTTGCTGCTGTTTAATAAAATGATAACAATTTGATATGATGTGGGAAAAAAAGAAAAAATAAACAAAAGAAGAAGATAAGAAAGGAAGAAAAAACGTTGATTAAAACGGAAATTTAATACGTTTTAAACTTGTTGACCCCGTAAATTTTATTCTACTTTCATTTAAGATATTGTTAATAAATTTTCTTCTTCCGGTTTTATAACAATAATTTTTTTTTTTTTTTTATTAAATAAGTGAAATTAATATTAATTTTTTTGGTAATAATTTTAGACAACAGGAATGAAAATGTTGTTCACTCACTAAAATGTAGAGCGATAATAATAATATTTGAAAAGAAAAAATTTTTTGTAATTATAAGGAAAATGACAGATTTGTGGCATTCGTGATAGTCATTTAAACAATTTTCTTTTTCGAATTAAACGCCATTTAAACAAAAGAAAAATAATTTTAAGTTAAAAGACGAAAAAAAAAGGAAAACCTTTCTCCTATTTTCGTTATTTTTACTTTTTTTTTGTTTCTTAACGCCTTTATATGCAAAAAAAAATTACCTTACTACTCCAAATACCTACT